ATTGATGGCATTTCACAAATGAACTGATCAATGATGGCATTTCGCAAACAAACTGATTCATGGCAGCATTTCACAAAACAAACTGATCAATAATGGCATTTCACAAACAAACTAATCAATGATGGCATTTCACAAACAAACTGATCAATAATGGCATTTCACAAACAAACTGATCAATGATGGCATTTCACAAACAAACTGATCCATGATTGCATTTCACAAACAAACTGATCAATGATGGCATTTCATAAACAAACTGATCCATGATGGCATTTCACAAACAAACTGATCAATAATGCCATTTGACAAACGAACTGATCCATGACAGCGTTTCACAAACAAACTGATCAATGATGGCATTTCACAAACAAACTGATCAATGATGGCATTTTACAAATGAACTGATCCATGACAGCGTTTCACAAACAAACTGATCAATGATGGCATTTCACAAACAAACTGATCAATAATGGCATTTCACAAACAAACTGATCCATGATGGCATTTTACAAACAAACTGATCAATAATGCCATTTCACAAACGAACTGATCCATGACAGCGTTTCACAAACAAACTGATCAATGATGGCATTTTACAAATGAACTGATCCATGATGGCATTTCACAAACAAACTGATCAATAATGCCATTTCACAAACGAACTGATCAATCATGGCATTTCACAAACAAACTGATCCATGATGGCATTTTACAAACAAACTGATCAATAATGCCATTTCACAAACGAACTGATCCATGACAGCGTTTCACAAACAAACTGATCAATGATGGCATTTTACAAATGAACTGATCAATAATGGCATTTCACAAACAAACTAATCAATGATGGCATTTCACAAACAAACTGATCCATGATTGCATTTCACAAACAAACTGATCAATGATGGCATTTCACAAACAAACTGATCCATGACAGCGTTTCACAAACAAACTGATCAATGATGGCATTTCACAAACAAACTGATCCATGATGGCATTTCACAAACAAACTGATCAATGATGGCATTTCACAAACAAACTGATCCATGACAGCGTTTCACAAAAAAACTGATCAATGATGGCATTTCACAAACAAACTGATCAATAATGGCATTTCACCAAACAAACTGATCCATGATGGCATTTCACAAACAAACTGATCAATGATGGCATTTCACAAACAAACTGATCCATGATGGCATTTCACAAACCAACTGATCCATGACAAGCATTTCACAAACTAACTGATCAATGATGGCATTTCACAAACTAACTGATCATG